TTAAATTATCTATTACGTCACATAAAAAATTTTTGACAAATTGTTAATAAATTATTTAATGAATTATTAATAAATTTTTTGATAAATTGTTAATATATTAATTTTATAATATTTATAGCTGAATTATATAGTTGCTGGTTTATTTATATTATTTTTTTGCTGAATTGTTTATTTTTTGCTGAATGTTATATGAGTGGAAGTATATTGAATAAATTTTTTTTGACTAGTGTAAATAAAGTTAGCAATTTTTGTGTTTAATTAATAATATGATTTTTTTTTTTTGACTTTAATTTATATACTATAATTTTTATATTTTAAGAAAAAACAAATAAGTCATTTGAAAAAAAATTATAATAATTATCAGTTTTAATAATATATTTTTAACAAAAAAATTGATATTGTTTTTAAGCATAATATTTTATGCAATATTGAAATAATTAAATTTAAAAAAATTTTTAAATATCAATTTATCAAAAATTAAATAGCAAAAAATATTATATTTTTCAAAAATTGTTTTTTATGATAAAACGAAATATTGCAATACTTTTTTTAATAATAATAAAGAAACGAATTTTTTCTTAGAAAAATTAATTTGAAAATCATAATTATATATTTTAATAATTGTGACAATAAATTATTAATTTATTTATATAAAAAGTAGTAATAATAATAATATATTTTTCTAAACATTTATATGCAGTATTTATTTTTTCCTTTAATGTTATATCTTGCATTGTTTTGAAAAAAATTTATAATTAAATTAATCAATTGCATTTTTTAATTATAGTGGTTTAAGTAATCGAGTAAAAGAAGATTCAATTGTTGTATAATAATTTTAGTATCAATAAATGAACAATATATCAGAAGAGTAATGTTTAATAGACTAATAAGTTTGAAAATTTTCTTTTTGATTTTATAGCGAATACAATTTTAAAACCCTAAATTACTATAAATATGTATAATTTAAAATGTTTTTTCTTGTTTAAATAGTTTATGCTATTTTGAATGACTACATTCGGGAATTATTCAAAAATTTTTTATGTGACGTAATAGATAATTTAAAAAATGTATGTACAAGAATTGGCTTATCGTCTACCATAACGGTTCTGCTTTTACAAACACCCTTTTATTTTTATACCTATCCAAAATCCCAAATATAACCTCTTCTTTTACCAAGAAATTTACCATCATTTTTTCATCCTTCCCTTCTTCACAATTTCTGTTCTTCCCTTCGATGTATTTCTCCACGTGCACAACGCCCACACATTTCCTCAATTCACTTTCCAGCAGTAGTATAAAGGAATTTTTAGACTCTGCATTATGCATCACACGAAAACATTGGAAATTGTAGATAGAGTAATATAAATAGAGATAGTATTTAGTATTAGATGAAGAAGAAATAAAGCCTATGTCACGTTTCGAAATTATACGCATGAAATTAAAAGTATTATGAGAAGGAGAATAGTCTATGAATGAAAGATCGGATTTGATACCGAATTTATGAGGCAATGCACGAGAGTCAATATCCTAAGAGAAAAAATGGGACAAGTTTATTTCCTATAAGTGAAATGTTTAATAACACACAGCCACGAACATACACTACCTCGATCATCCATCCGTCTGTAAAATTTCTTGAAATTTCATCCTTGATTACTATAGGAATCAATTTATTCCATCGTTTACAAGTGCGCGTGAGCTGACGGATTTTCCTAAAACTACATAACGAGACACATTAAAATATTAATAAGGATTGTTAGAAGTTCATCGAATGATATCAAACACAACTTTTTGTACCTCGATTCTTTTAGAACGATACCAAGTATGTGAATCATGAGTTCATTTGGAATGTTGGAGAGCATTTTTTTTTTTTTTTTTTACATCTGAGAATCTGAATGAGATACGTAGATGAAGGATTTAATGAAATTAACTTAAATGAGAGAAATTGGTAACATTAAGGAATGAAACTCTGGGGGAATATCGAGAAAGTCAATTTCTCAAGTTATAGAACTAAATTTTTTACAATAGATGGTGTCTACACTTACGTTGTTTTTTGGTGTTATTATTCACATAAAATGTTGATGTATAATTATGTTTGTGACATCACCTTTTATTTTCAATCCCGAAATTCGCAAACCGAAAGTAATAAATGATACTACTGTATATATACTGTCATCGGTTAGTTTGTAAGTGTAACCGTTACACCTATTATTTCTATATTCGTAATAACGTAATGATATACTGCTGCGCACGTACGTAATCGTTATAGAGGCAAAAAAGTTAGTTTCAATGAATGAATCAATATATAAAGTGGTCTTTTCCCCCATTTTCTACTTTAATTACTTACCTGGAAACACGAAAAATAGTTAAGAAATGTGCCACGGTAAGTATGAACATTTTTCAATTATGATTAATTGTAAACGATTTTAATCCCTTGATAATAAATAATCTTTTTTAACAATTAACAATCTTATAGCCAGAGAAAATCAGGTTAAGTGCCAAGCTCCAAATTGTAATCGTTCTGTTTATGTTGACGCTAACGGGTAAGAATATTATATCGTGCATAATTTCTCTATTAAATTCATTTTCACCGGTTTTCAATCAATACAGTTACCGTCACCCTTTCTGCGGTGTGACTTGCGCGCGAATGTACGATGACAATTTGAGCAATGATCCATATATGAATTCCTCCCCGGTTCCGGCTGCTTGCAAAATTCCGGAATGCAATCGTGGTTCGTACATCGACTCTCAAGGCCATCGACATCCTTATTGTTCGCGCACTTGTGCGCACAAGGATGCTTAAATGATTTGCTTTCGAGGTTTTCTGAAACCTTTTTGGTGTAAACGGCGGTTTTCAATAATGCTTAATTTTCGATCATATTTTGTTAATGCAATTACTCTGATAATTGTGAATTGTTATCTTTTATTATTTGCTCAACCGCTAGAGATTTTTTTTTTTTTAACACGTTATCACAAATTTGCGAAAAGATGAGCTTTTGAATCTATTTTAATCATATTAATTTTGTTCGTTAAAAATTTATTTCCTAAAAATTATGTATTACTTCTTGAAATAGATGCTCGTTCGTTTATAATAAAGGAATAAAGTCCAATACTGTATATAAATTAATTACACGCTAAGCAGGACCGCGAAATGAATAAATCGCCGAGAATTTTTACAAACAGACTTTGATATAAAGGTTCCATGAACATTCAAGAACGAAATAGAAGTAAGGGTACCTCCATTTTAATATATAAAGGCCCGAAACACCTCTTTCGGAACGATAACACTCTTTGATATACCGGACGATAAAATTATATACTGCGGACTCATGATTTCCATTTTATGAAAGTATTAACCATACTATGTTTTTTGCTAGAAAGTTTAATATAGACAATTATTGTATATTATATTATTTATTAATGGTAGCATAAGAAAACTTACTACGTATTGTTATATAATAACACAATGAAATAATATTACGGCGGATTTGTCATTTAAAAAAAAAACATGCAATACTAGTATGACACACCCAATCGTCATATTATCATTTTCCCGCCTTTTTATATTTTAAAATCTCGTGAATTTTCACTCTTACATTTGGAACTATGTCTTTAATATATTTCACTTCTGTGTCGTTCATCGATCGTAGATATCATTACGATCGTTAATTCGACTTTGTATTATATTAATGAATATTTGTTACTTATTTTTCTAAGAATATGTGGATTGGTTACATACTGCGTATTATTAAAGAAAAAATACTACTTTTAAAATATATTAAATATTATATAAAATAGTTTGTTAGTCCGAGCACGACGGCAGTCGTGTGATTTAATATACGATCACTATAAATAACGTCTTTGTGTCGGCTCGAATTAAGTTTAATTCGGGCCAAAATTCGAAAGTATACATTCTTTAATTGGCTTTAAATTTCAGCCCTTCAAGTCAAAATTCAAATAACGCGCTTTCGCACATCGGCCTAAATCAAGCAAAATTGGGCCAAAATTTAAAATAATAGATACTATATATTTTTCTTTTACCATTATTATAGTTTCAAGTAACAGATTATGTAATTGTACAAGGATAACAATTAACTAAATTTAAAAATTAATTATATATAATGGTCTATAAATCAATAGTTCAGGTAATAGAGCTTTAGGTTTTCAAATAAGAATTTTCATTTAAATCCATTAGAAAGTATTTATAAGTTTAAGTTATAGAAGAATGAAATTTCTGATTTCTTATTAATCATGAAACTAAAATAATAATATTCAATAATTGCATAAAAAAAGGTTTTTAATTTAACTATATATAATTTTACCTTAATATACTGTATATTAACTCAAACTATATTAATATATTCTAAAATTTTATTTTTAAAATTGTGATTATTATTTAAATATTTTTAATCCAAAAATTATATTGATAAGTTCTGGAATCTGATTATATTACTTGAAATATTATAATTTAATACTTGTTTAAATAAAAAAATTTTTAGATAAGAATTTGTTTACAATATTATAGATAATAATAAAAAATTAAAATACTTTTAAAATTTAAGTAAAAAATATTAAAATATCAAATAATTAATTAATTCTTGAAAATTTAAAGACCTATGGGTCAATAGTGCAGTGAATGTGCTTCCAGGTCAACATTTGCAAGTTACTGGCTCAATCCCACTTCAGAACAGTACTTGCATTATAAGTTACATTGTACAAGAATATATGCTCATCAGCCACATGCAGGTTTGAACATAAACAATCTATAGAATCCACTGTCTGACCATTATGTCATAAAAGAGATTATACAGGACCCAGTCAATTTTAGTACTAGGGAAACAAACCATGACATCCCGTCACTTAAAATATGTACAGACACCAAAAATACCAAGAAAGACAATGATAGGACTCAGGATCCTATTGGTCTTATACAGAATCTATCTCTTCTCAAAAACTCTAGTCTCATGGGAGGTTTGGGAAACTTTGGTCACATGAATCAACTGCAAAATATAAAGGATCAGACAAATACTAGAAGATCTTTGATCGCTATTATCAATGGTTACCAGAGACTGGACCTCACGAATGGCTAACAAGGAGTGACAAAGTTGAATATTCACAATGGAAAAATGCAGGGGCAAACCCTAGAAGAAGAAATTCAGAAACAATCACCAAGATAATCATTCCAAAGAGAGTAGCAATCCGTTACGAAATAATCAAGAGAAATCCCTGCAGGTATATTTGAAGAATAGTTAAAAATAGTCACTGAAAAACTATGGCCATCAATCTGGCTCACCAATAACTGTCAGGAAACTTGATGGGACCACATGGAAACTGAAGAATAGGACGACCAACTTTCTGAGAACTAAGCATGATTAAAAAGATGTTAAATCATGGACATACACTCCATAAGGTATATAAGTCCCCAAGAATCAAACAACCCCAAATAGCTCCTTGAATATAAATAGAAGTCCCCTAATAGATCCTTGAAACATTAGGAGTGCCTAGGCATAGCAGGACAACTAACAAGATGGTATCCATATCGAATAAAATCTAAGGATGGTTGAACTGATTAGAATAGTATAGATTAGATATAAGAATTGCTCTTATAAAAATAACTCTGTATAAACTCCTTCATAACCGATCAATAAAAGCTTAGTTAGTATAATTAGTTAAAAAAAAATGAAGATTTAAGTTTTAACGTATATAAGTTAATATAAGTAAAATAGTAAAATAAGACTAATATATAGTTTTAAACTAGTTATACTATCTATTAATAATTATATATTGACTATTTGATTTCTGATTAATAAATTATTTTTAAATTTTATATATGTTATAAATACTATAAATATATAGTTTATATTATATAAATTAACTGATAATAATAAAATATTTAATACTAAAACTTTTTTTACTAATTTTATAATCAAATATGAAAAAATATTCAAAAGAAGCTTTATATTTCTTGATTAACAAAGTCTTTACTCTTTTTTTAAAACAATTTAAAACTTGTTTTAAGAATCAATATATCCTCACATTTATTTATAAATTTCTTTAAATAAAAACATGGGTCTTTAATGATCTATACAGACTCAAGTATATACTTTCTCTATTAAAAGCAAGAAGATTCTAAAAAGTAAAAAGATCAACTTGTAAAGTATTATTTTTTAATACTGAAAGTAATATAGAGATAGAGAATTTTTAAACAGAAAAGACTTATTACTCATTTCTCACATACTATCTTCTGTTCTTTTAAATTATTTATAGTTTTTTATAATTTTTTGAGAAATTTTGCCTACTTCAATTTAATTCTGAATTTCTAATACCTA